TGTGTCTGTAATAAGGTAACCTAACGTGTGTGTCTGTAATAAGGTAACCTAACGTGTGTGTCTGTAATAAGGTAACCTAACGTGTGTGTCTGTAATAAGGTTACCTAACGTGTGTGTCTGTAATAAGGTTACCTAACGTGTGTGTCTGTAATAAGGTAACCCAACGGTTATGTCTGTAATAAGGTAACCTAACGGTTGTGTCTGTAATAAGGTAACCTAACGGGTGAGTCTGTAATAAGGTAACCTAACGTTTGTGTCTGTAATAAGGTAACCTAACGTGTGTGTCTGTAATAAGGTAACCTAACGTGTGTGTCTGTAATAAGGTAACCTAACGTGTGTGTTTGTAATAAGGTAACATAACGTGTGTGTATGTAATAAGGTAACCTAACGTTTGTGTCTGTAATAAGGTAACCTAACGTGTGTGTTTGTAATAAGGTAACCTAACGTGTGTGTTTGTAATAAGGTAACCTAACGTGTGTGTCTGTAAGAAGGTGACCTAACCTGTGTGTTTGTAATAAGGTAACCTAACGTTTGTGTCTGTAATAAGGTGACCTAACGTGTGTGTTTGTAGTAAGGTAACCTAACGTGTGTGTTTGTAATTTAATAAGGTAACCTAACGTGTGTGTTTGTAATTTAATAAGGTAACCTAACGTGTGTGTTTGTAATAAGGAAACCTTACGTGTGTGTCTGTAATAAGGTAACCTAACGTGTCTGTTTGTAATAAGGTAACCTAACGTGCGTGTTTGTAATAAGGTAACCTAACGTTTGTGTTTGTAATAAGGTAACCTAACGTGTTTGTTTGTAATAAGGTAACATAACGTGTGTGTTTGTAATAAGGTAACCTATCGTTTGTGTCTGTAATAAGGTAACCTAACGTGTCTGTTTGTAATAAGGTAACCTAACGTGCGTGTTTGTAATAAGGTAACCTAACGTTTGTGTCTGTAATAAGGTAACCTAACGTGTGTGTTTTTAATAAGGTAACCTAACGTGTGTGTCTGTCATAAGGTAACCTAACGTGTGTGTTTGTAATAAGGAAACCTTACGTGTGTGTCTGTAATAAGGTAACCTAACGTGTGTGTCTGTCATAAGGTAACCTAACGTGTGTGTTTGTAATAAGGTTACCTAACGTGTGTGTTTGTAATAAGGTAACATAACGTGTGTGTATGTAATAAGGTAACCTAACGTTTGTGTCTGTAATAAGGTAACCTAACGTGTCTGTTTGTAATAAGGTAACCTAACGTGCGTGTTTGTAATAAGGTAACCTAACGTTTGTGTTTGTAATAAGGTAACCTAACGTGTTTGTTTGTAATAAGGTAACATAACGTGTGTGTTTGTAATAAGGTAACCTTACGTGTGTGTCTGTAATTAGGTAACCTAACGTGTGTGTGTAATAAGGTAACCTAACGTGTGTGTCTGTAATAAGGTAACCTAACGTGTGTGTCTGTAATAAGGTAACATAACGTGTGTGTCTGTAATAAGGTAACCTAACGTTTGTGTGTGTATATGTATTGTCTGAACACGTATAACAACATTATATCACGACTTTTAGCCCTTCCTGACAGTAACACCCGTCCCATTATACACAAAGAAACCACATGGCGCGTGTTACTTTAAAATATCAGACTACAATGACGTTGCTTCACACACTGTTCGTATGCTATTTTGGGATAATATCTTCAGAGATACATGTTTAAGTGATGGATGGACGGACAATGCCGTACCATAATCAAGTTACATCAAAACAAGTTTAAAAATAGTATTCAATAGTACTTGTTTCCCAATCATCAGAATGAAATTTCTTTTTAATTGTATATGTTAATTGACAGGAATAAAATAGGGATTAAACTAGAAAATAGTATGACATATAATTCACGCAGTAGCGTTTGCTTATTTAACTTTAAACGATTTCTAAAGAATGCCTTTGTCACGTGTTGATCTCCTCGATTACAACTTGTGCATTTCCGGCAACAGGAGAAAATACACAAACCGGAAGCACAAACAAGTCCTTGTGACATGTGCTGATCTGATAAGATAATAGTCTCTCCATAAACCGGTGTTCTCAAGTGATTTACAATTGCCTTGAATAGTTTTTCAGATATCTTTAAGTACTTCTAATAGAAATGGGGAAAGAATAGAGAAATAAATGTGTTGTGCTGGTTCAACACTTTTCATTGGTTTTCCCTAAATTGATATACTGCAATTTCTAGTTCCAAAATGACAATTACTGTAACATAATCAGATCATTCTTCATTAGTTTCAACATGTGAAAGTGAAGGTGTCCTGCTATATGTATAGCACAGGGACCTGAGAATTTGCTACAGCTATATTTGGACCTAAACTAAGGTGTTTGGAGTAATTTTACACGTTTGGTGCGTTTAGGAAGATTTTCGGTAAAAATGCCACCCACAATGATCATATATACCGAGTGGCCGCCTGACTACGAACAACGTTGAAACTCTGAAATGGCGTGTGTTTTTTGAGTAAACGGAGATAATGTCCACGGAAGGAAAATGCATCTGGCTTGAATATATGAGGTTTGAGAAAGAAAAATTATCCATCTTTCCAAGCATTTTTATCAAGCATTATTTCGTACAACAAATAGAAATGTGATTTTTGATGCAAGAAAGTTAGGTGGGGCCGATTTCTCGACATCGAGAACTTTCCTCCCTTCTCGGTATATAATTTATGATCATTGTGGGTGGCATTTTTACCGAAAATCTTCCTAAACGCACCAAACGTGTAAAATTACTTCAAACACCTTAGTTTAGGTCCAAATATAGCTGTAACAAATGCTCAGGTCCCTGTGCTGTATAGCAGCGAACACATGTGTAAGTTAGGCATGCCTACCTTGCCAGCTGTGTCGAACAGACTCAGGTGATACGGCTTGTTGTCGACGGTCACAGTGGCTGTAAAGGTAAACAGAAATAGAGTTATAGAGCTGTGATAGATTGTCCACCAGAACTTACATAACTATATAGTATGAAAGTCTTTAGTCCGAAATAACGGACAATCCCACGCTTTACTTTTGTCTAGTTATATTGGGCGCCTAAAAAAGAAAAAGTTATTTTTAAGTCTGGAATGTCCTATACAAACTCGTCGTGGCAAAGATTTAGCAGTTGCATGTTCATCAAATATACTCAAATTATTTATTTAATTTAGATCTACTGAGTGTGGTCCGAAATACTGATTAAATGTTTGTACTGTTAAAAATATTGAATTTGGCTGTTTCCATAGATTTCCATAACGACTTCGTAACCAGACACTAGGGTACCGGGTGCTGATATTATTAGTAGTAATTGATGCTTTAGTTAATTTCTATCATTTCATTTAAAATCCAACATTTTTTTGGAAAATTTTCAAACAACAAGAAATGGAAAAAATATATATCAAATCAACAGCTTTTTCCGGTGATGGGGAGGTTGCTAGATGATGTTAAACTTTGCATTCATATCGTTGACAGTCCATCTACTGGCCTGGTATCATATACGTACTACCATCAATGTAAGTAATCAATCTTGTCTACCTGTACAGGTGCATGTCCTGGTATATCCAGGTGTATACGTTAGAATCGGGTGCATCCGGAAATATCCGACACCCGGGGGTGTATGATGTGTAATGTATATTGGGGGAGGGGATGACTGTATTTACCCAAGGTAACTGAGGTGGGACAGGTATATCAGGAATGTACACTGTACTGAGGTACGTAGGGTGGCTGACAGGATTACGGGGCCCCGAGGTATATGAGGTCTATATCAGGGGTGTATACTGTACCCAGGTACGTAGGGTGGCTGACAAGATGTACGGGGCCCCGGGGTAAATGAGTAATACAATCACAGATTACCAGCAGTTTGTTTACTGTTCGACGTTAGAACGTCTTTCATATCTTTAAATGCAATCAAAATGTGTCTAGTTAACCGTCTGTGTCAGCGTACTACTGTCGTCTGATGGATAACCGAAATACGCGGGAGTGAAGCGGACGTTAAACCTATCAATCAATCATACTACTGTCGTTCGAGCTCATCATCAACTCTCCCACAGTCGACAGTTGGTATTGTCCGTGACACAGTCACCCATACACAGGTCTGTGGTATAACACGGACATACAGTTACAGGAATACCGCGAGCTAATCCCTACTTCCTGTGATCGTATGTTGCTGTCCAACAGCTGTTATCCTCATAATTGATTTACGCACTTCACTGTTACAGTGATACACCACCCAACAGTTATAACGACTCATCATAAACAAAAATGAAAAATTACATACTGTTTTCGTAACATTAAGATCTAATATTGAGATTCTGACGAATGGAATGAATAACTGAGCAATTAATAGATACACTTACGATAAGTTAATTAATATTTACGAGATATGGGATTATATCTAATATTTCGACGAGCGTAAATGTTTAAGTGAACAGGTTACTCAAATATATTGTCGCTACAGAACAATGCACCGGAAAGCCGTGTAATTTTACATATAAATGTATTTTGTGTAAATTTGGAAAAAAAATCCACATTACCATGTGGTAAGTATTTTGTTGTTGGTTTTCTGGGATAGTCCGGGATTTAACCACAACCTTGCAGTTTTGTATAATTTAAAGGTGCACAGTAGTTAATAATATGTACTGCGAAAAGGGAGTGTTCGCTCGCCCCAGTTATGTAACGCCACTTAACCACCACATAACCACAACTACCAGTTAAAGGCAGTCTCCCGTGGCTAATCATTGTAGTACTCGAACGATTTGCTAAAATGTGGTATCTGCGGTCAAACTTATTAAAACACAGGAGCGCTGAGACTGTGAGATTTCAGTATGAGAAATGGAGAGATTAGATAATTCACAAGTGGTCCGGTAACAGTGGCCAGGTAGCGCTGGGAAATACCAGGTAACCACAACATGCCACGTGTTTTATACCCAAACATGCAGAATATGTATAAAACCCAGGAGTGCTAAATATATTAAATATGATGGACGGGTTGGGAGGGAAACCAAAGCAAATAGTATTGGCAAAAGTATAGGCCTGCACTGAGTAGATCTATAGTTACAAAAGGGACAAATCAATAGCATCAGGCAGTCATGTAATACGTCTACATAACCAACTGTAAGAAATCAGACAGAAGATGTTGAGAAGTGATTCCTATCCGTGATCTGTAGTATATCTGTCGCCTTATAATGTCCCATAGTAACTCTGTGGTATGGCGGAAGTCCGTGGTGGTATTATAATAATGTCCCATAGTAACTCTGTGGTATGGCGGAAGTCCGTGGTGGTATTATAATAATGTCCCATAGTAACTCTGTGGTATGGCGGAAGTCCGTGGTGGTATTATAATAATGTCCCATAGTAACTCTGTGGTATGGCGGAAGTCCGTGGTGGTATTATAATAATGTCCCATAGTAACTCTGTGGTATGGCGGAAGTCCGTGGTGGTATTATAATAATGTCCCATAGTAACTCTGTGGTATGGCGGAAGTCCGTGGTGGTATTATAATAATATCTCCACAGGTTTGTCGTATGTTGCGTCTATATAACTTACAGGACAAATAAGCTGGTATATTAAAACAGTAGTTCCAGATATAAGCCAACAATTTACCTCAGTACCAGGTGTTATTTTGTAATGTACCGAATACAAAGGTAACTAATTAGTAGATTCTGACACTTATTTCTGAACAACGTTAGTATTGACGCATTTTTAATAATAATAAAAAGGAAATGTATGGAGTGAATATATTACAGGGTATGATGTTGAACTTATCTACATACATGTATGTATATTCATGTGAAAAATGTCTTACCGGCGAAGTTATCAAACAGAGTTGGAATGTAGTCGGTTTTGAAGGACCTATTAGAGACTCGGGCGGCCAGGCTACTCTTTCCTACTCCGGTGTCTCCGATCAACACACACTTCAAACTCAACTTCTCCCAAAACTCGTATTTTTTCTTCATGTTGTCTTAGAGTTAACATCCGTATAAAGTTAGCTACACCGTGGCTCACATGCACTGTCCCGAACACACAATAAACATGGACATATGAACAACACATATACACCACGTGTGGTGACGTCACTGTCCTTAGACTTAGTCAACCAATCAAATACTCGTCAGTAGCGCCTGCCTCAGACTCTGTGTATGTAGACCAGGTGTGATATGGTTATGACAGGCACCTAATTGTTATTTACCTGTGGGTAGGTACCTGTTATTTACCTGTGGATTACCTGTTAAATGCCTTTGGGTGGGTGTACAGATGACATGTGTATCAGAGAAAAGACAATGATCACACATCAGCAGACACTTCCCGGTCAATGATTCACACACAGTTTGGTGTTTAGAAAGTTAATGGACTTGTCAGTCAATATCAAGTCTTAATCACTTATCGCTAAACATGGCCAGTGATAAATATATTGTTTGGCTACACATGTTTATTGTTAATCATAGGGTCATACTGTTGACACACCTGACTAGCACTGTATCAGACCCGATAGACGCCGGATCTGTGGACTGACGGTCTATCATTCTTCATATCATATGACACATCTTGGATTTTGGAAACAACATTTTAATGCCAATTATACAATATTTCCCAGAGAGTTAAACACGTATAGACAAACATCTTCGATATACCACACCCTATATATATATATATTACATCATATCCATTGCGTGTCTGTGGCAGTACAACGGAACTCGGGGTGATGAGTTATGTCCGCCAAAAAAAAAAAAAATCTGTACAAAAGTCACATTATCGACCACACTGTCAAAGGCCATTAGGTGTACAACTGGTAGCACAGCGAATAAACAGGAAAATCGTAGCCCAGCGAATAAACAGGAAAATCGTTATGAACATCAACAACTATTAGTCATACTATTAATTCACTGCAGTAACAATAGGGATCTCATTACTCGGACGGATATTACTGAACTGTAACATCACCCGATACCCGGGGTACCACAAAACCTATAACTAATGGCCGTATCATGTGATACCCGGCATACCACTAAACCTATAACTACTGGCCGTATCACGTGATACCCGGCATACCACTTGACCTATAACTACTGGCCGTATCACCCGATACCCGGGGTACCACTAAACCTATAACTATTGTCGTATCACCCGATACCCGGGGTACCACTAAACCTATAACTATTGTCGTATCACCCGATATCCGGGGTACCACAAAACCTATAACTATTGTCGCATCACCCGATACCCGGGGTACCACTAAATCTATAACTATTGTCGCATCACCCGAAATCCGGGGTACCACTAAATCTATAACTATTGTCGCATCACCCGAAATCCGGGGTACCACAAAACCTATAACTACTGACCGTATCACCCGATACCCGGGATACCACAAAACCTATAACTACTGGCCATATCACCCAATACCCGGGGTACCACTTAACCTATAACGACTGGCCGTATCACGTGATACCCGGCATACCACTTGACCTATAACTACTGGCCATATCACCCAATACCCGGGGTACCACTAAACCTATAACAACTGGCCGTATCACGTGATACCCGGGGTACCACTTAACCTATAACTACTGGCCATATCACCCAACACCCGGGATACCACTAAACCTATAACGACTGGCCATATCACCCAATACTCGGGTACCACTTAACCTATAACGACTGGCCGTATCACGTGATACCCGGCATACCACTTGACCTATAACTACTGGCCGTATCACCTGATGTACCACTAAACCTTTAACAACTGGCCGTATCACGTGATACCCGGGGTACCACTTAACCTATAACTACTGGCCTTATCACCCGATACCCGGGATAACACTAAAATTATAACAACCGGCCGTATCACCCGATACACGGGATACCACTAAACCTATAACTATTTGCCGTATCACCCAATACCCGTGGTACCACTTAACCTATAACTATTGGCCGTATCATCCAATACCCGGGGTACCACTTAACCTATAACAACTGGCCTTATCACCCGATACCCGGGATACCACTAAACCTATAACTNCTCTGACATAAGACATGTATATCAAGAGAAGGTATTTTTATCACCCAAATAGACCAAAGTTCCTGGAATAAATATCGGCTACGAGCAAGAGTACATCGAAAAATATTGCCGCTTTCATTTTTAAAGCGAATGAGATACGGAACATTAACTTATTTAATCAGGAGTAACGTCCGCCCTGATGTCGTGAAACCTGCATTTAAGTATGGAAAGTCACTGTTTTACTTTATAATATATTTATGTAATTTAATGCATTGTACCACTACATATATCCTTGTATATGCAATGTATTTATGGCACAAAGGTATTTGTGTCTATTGCTGAATAAAGATTATACATGATCACCAGGCGTGAATAAGTATACCAATTAAAAAATATAAATTTCAAAAATGTCAAAGACAATACAGCACGATGCGCTTTATCAGGTGAATAATATCTAATGTTAGCACAAAAGCCTGGCATGTATATCCTTTTCATTAGGTATTGCCCTTGTACATATGTATGCGTACAAATTCACAATAAAAGACCAACAGTTAAATCATAATCCATATATATATATGACAAAATAAATCAATATTTAATTGCCAAAATGCTCGCCTAAACTACATGCGCATGAAGGGCATGACACAAACATCAACATTTTAACAGAAAACCTACATTTTTACCATTGTTTTATTAGGTCACCTNGTTATCACTGGCTGCGCTCGGCCATCATAAAATATTATTACTCTATGTTATAAAATATAACCTGGAATTATACCGCAAACTCAGAAAACTATTCTATACCTCACTCGATCTGTTTGACCACAGACTTGCCATCTAAATCCGTGGTATTATATCTTCAGAAGAAAAAAAATCGCATCGCTCCGCTCGGCAGGGAAATTATAATTGTCACATTCTCAGAAATAATCAAGTTCTATATATTTTTGGGTGCCAAAGTAGTAACATGTACAGCCGACACGAAAATTCTAATTTATTATTTCTAGATAAGTGCAAAAACGTGTCTTTTACCCCCCCCCCCTGTATACTTAACCTATAACTATCCTCCGGATGGTGTAATAGACGCCCATTGCCAGAATTATTTAATCATCGCAAATAATTGGATTGTCTCGGTGTCCATTAGATATGACAATAGTCTACAAGTACACGGTATCATTGTGATATATACGTACGTGTGAAATGGACGAGATCACTTCCTAGAAATGAAGGATGCTGTGTTAGACGTGTTTCCGGTAAAACTTATGATTGAGGAAATTTAATACATGTGTGTTGCAGTTTTACTGTTTACTGACGTCAATTGCAATGAGAAAACAAAATATTAATCATTAACATGCACTAATGAATCAAGTATAAATGACCTGTTAAAAATGTTCTATATATCAATATAGCTAGCTGGAGTTTTGAAGTACATCAGAAAGTTTTCGTTTCGCGACTATACAAAATCCATACCCTCGTTACATACGCTATAGTTTATGAAATGAAGATCAGACATGTATGTACCTGCTTAAAATCGCAAAAGTTCAACCAAACCGCTTGACTGTACACAGGTTTGGTTGAAATTTTGCGATTTTAAACAGGTTGACAAAACGTATGATAAACCAACTATGATAAGTTTGTCTAATACAGTTTCTGTGCCGTTAATACAATGTATACGATTCTTTACATTCATTTGGTCTGAAGATCAGTCATTTCGTTCACCTTTTGACCTAGTTTAGTTTGGTCTTAAGCTCAGTCATTTCGTTCACCTGTTGACCTAGTTTAGTTTGGTCTTAAGATCAGTCATTTCGTTCACCTTTTGACCTAGTTTAGTTTGGTCAGAGACGTATATATTACAATGTTGTGATATATGTGTCCTACGGACATACCTCCATTAGGATCCAGTGTTATATGGGATTTACCGTCTATATTACTTCTTTGACCCTTACAATGTTATAATATATATGTCTATGGTTTGGTGTTTTGTAGTTCTGACTGGTGAAAAAAAATGTAAATTGCGAACAGAATTTTTTTTTCTTCTCATAAATAGGTTTCTGCACCTTCAACACGTCTTCGGCTTAACAGGAAACTATTAATCGTCCCGCCCTGCAACCACGTAATACTAAAGTCCGGGCCGGATACCGGACGTGTTCCGGTGGATATAGACCGACGATAGTCAGAGGGGCCGGAAAGTCATGGTCTTGTGTAAATAAGGTCGACCGTCGTACTGTAATGTTTGTAGTCTTCATATTAAAACAATGCCCCCTATATTTCCACATCCCACACGTATCCCGTGTCCGGTCCGCGCTCTGTTTACTGAACTAACACCATTTGCGTAATTAATTAATGTCATCAGTAATTATAAAGACCACAACTGCTCATAATAATTCCTTAGTTGATGTTAATTATTTACACACACATGCCATCTGCATGCTATGAAATTTGCCCGTGTGCTCAAAATGACCAATAAAATTTGCAAATGCAAAGATAAGAAAGAATACAAACGGCCCAGAGGGCCTGTATAACTCACATGGAAATGTTAGCAAAATTAAAGTTGAAATAGCCATATGTTGCTGGTAGTGTACATGTATTACATGGTTAGTAAGGGGTTATATTTATATGCAATTGGACAAAATCCTGTCATTCCTACAGGAAAAAGAGGATTTGAAGAATTTGCTATATTCCCCTATTGGGCCCCACCCCTCTGCCCCTAGGAGGATTAGACCCACCGTTGATAAACAAAAAATAGCTCCCCTTCAACCAAGGATGCTTTAGACCAAATATGGACATAATCCTGTCATTCCTACAGAAGGAGAAGGATTTTAAATATATTTTTCTATTTTCCATATCTTCCCACTCTGTCCCCTAGGGGGTCCAGACCCATTTATACAAAATTGATTTCCCTTCCCCATAGGATGCTACTGTTCAAATTTGGTCAAAATACCTTTATCCCAAAGGAGAAGAAGGATATTAAAGCTGTTCCTTTATATTCCTTATTGGGCCCCGCCTCTTTGCCCCCAGGAGGGTCAGACCAACCATTCATACAAAATAGGTTCCCCTTCACCCAAGGGTGCTTTATACCAAATTTGGACAAAATCCTGTCATTCCTACAGAAGGAAAAGGATTTTGAAGAATTTGCTATGTTTCTACTATTGAGCACTGCCCCCATGGGGGTCCATAATCACCGTTCATACAAAATTGAGTCCCCTTGGCCCAAGGATGCTCTAGACTAAATCGGATAAAATCCTTTAATCCCTACGGTAGAGGAAGGATTTTTAAGGTTTTACTTCTATTTCCCTTATTGAGCCCCCCTTCTCTGCCCCCAGGGGGGCCACACCCACCATTTATATAAAATTGAGTTCCCTTGGCCTATGGATGCTCCTGACCAAATTTTGTCAAAATCTTACTAGGCCGTTCAGGACTAGTAGCATTTTTATAGGAAAAGTTGACAGATGGACACTGCCGTATGTCCTTCGGACCAGGTGATCTAATAATTATATAATAAATGGGAGAAAACAGCTAAACATCACTAAAGCGATATCAAAGTCCTTTCTGTAGACCTCATTCACAGCTTTGTTAACTCCCCTTAGTCAGAAGTAGGCCTACTCTATATAAGTTACTATAAGATGTAGGCCTTGACAGTGTCATTTAGATGGTGGATGTTTCTTTATGTATGTTATATATGTGTGAAACATAAAACTATTTGCCCCTTTGTGGGCCCAGGTTATGATTAATAAATTTTAAATTTGATTTGAAAGTATTAAAGGTATGCATGGGTTTGCACAATGTACGTCTGTTGATTTGTGCCATTCCCATCTACAGTGAACAGAGGGAAACAATTCTGATACAGCAATTCAAGTACCTGGTAATATCCTTTTAGACTTGTTGCGAACTAATATGCAAAGCTAGTAAGTCTGAAGTTTTGTTTTAATACCTCAGTCAGCATGCCAAACAATTTAAAATTTGATCTAAAATAGTGACTTAGGAACAAAGAGGGACATGTCCTGAATAGTTTATATATTTATATTCAGACCAATGAAAAAATCATTAACTCAAGAACTTCCTACTCCAGACAAACTACATCAGGATGCGGGTCTGGAAACTCCAACACTCAAACCTGGAACACCACCTCAGGTCGAGTATCTGGAAACTAAAACCTGGTACACCACCTCAGGGTGAGTATCTGGAAACTAAAACCTGGAACACCACCTCAAGGTGAGTATCTGGAAACTAAAACCTAGAACTACACCTCAGGGTGAGTATCTGGAAACTAAAACCAGGAATACAACCTCAGGGTGAGTATCTGGAAACTAAAATCTGGAATTCAACTTCAGGGTGAGTATCTGGAAACCAAAAATCTTATACACCATCTCAGGGTGAGGGTCTGATACAGGACCTGAGGTTTGGTGAAGATGAGGATTAGATAGAGTGAAGTTGAGGTTGGAATACAGCTGTATAGCCTGCTGGTTTAGGGACAGACTGATTAACAGATAGACATGGGTATCAATGGATAAGATGAACAGACAGACTAACTATTCAGATATGTACCATGATATGCAACGCCAAAGCAGACATAAAAAAACAAGATATTTTAATACAAATATTTATTGTGTTAAAGTAATAAATTCTAAGATGAAAATCCAGTAGCTTTATCTATAACTTTCTTCTCCTCCTCAAAGGACAGGTCTCTGAAGGTGGCGAGTTCCATGACAAAGGTAGCTGATCCTGAGCTAATTCGACGGAGATCTGAAGAGTATCCCCGGAGCTTGACCAGTGGTACTAGTACTTCAATTAACCGTACCCCGTCCCTGTAATGTATACTCTCCACCTCACCACGCCTCATTGACAGGTCTTTAAGGATGTTGGACAGCCACTCTTCCTCTGTACTGATCTGTTGAGAGAAAGAGGCATCTTTAAATTTTTCATGTCAGTATTTTTACTTAAGGGGGCATCACACTGAAGCAACTATTTTTTGCGTCTTTTTTTCAAATACTACATAAACATATCAAGTGAGACTCCTTATGGCAAATAACGATCAGATTTGGCTGAAATAGATTCATAAAAATGATTAAATCTTAGATAATCATCGGTATTTCTACCTGTCTGACCAACGTTTTGTTCAGGGATTTCCCTCTACTAGCGCATGCGCACTGCACACCATTTCTTTGTAAACAAAATGACTGGCCGTGTGAAGTAAGCCAAAGAAAAGTGTTGTACCGTGTCAGCTACGAAGCGAAAAGTTGCCAAATGGTCAAAAGATAGCGCAAGGAGTACGTTACGGAATCATTATTACAGGTGGGAAGTATTCAAAGGAGAAAATAACTGCCCTAGCAGTTAGTACGGTGCAAGTATTCTTCCGGATAGCCGGTTAAGCTGAAATGGAATCGACAGAAATGCTAGCGCTGTTTATGTTATGAATAAATATCTAAAACTATTAACCTCGCTAGTATCTTTCTCTGAGTTTGAACACGGATGAACTTAGTTTAATATGTCAATGGGCATGTATCGGAGAGAGTTTACTTTGTGTTTCTATCATTATACAGTGGTTTATGCGAAAGGTAGGGATAAGTGACTGGTTAGTTTGATTTTGTCATGAGGCCCTCCAAGGGTTAACTGTTGTGATAGCCACGGCGCATTCTTTTAATTAATTTTCGACTTCAGATAGAATCGGAATACGTATTGAAAACAGGGGAAGACAAATTTGTTTACGTTGTAACAATGACGCGTGCTGCCGATAACTACGGTTTCTGTTTCGGACAAAAATGAAATGATTAAAGAAAAGTTGGCTCAACATAAAAAAGGGTCCATATATGCACTTTATGAAAACATTTGAAAAGGGATATTCGTCTCGTGAATATTCCTTTTTACAGAATGTTTGTCCCATGGTTGAAGAAAGTTGTTTAGCCCCATACAGATGTCACATTCCGGTACTAAATTCAATATATATTTATATATATATACTTTATGTTTATGCCTATTATTATTGTTGACATTTAATTGTAAATGTATGATGGGAGAAGGCTGTGATAAGTTTTTAAATGTGTGCCCCATCCCTTGTTCAATTTTATTGGCAACACATATGTTTAAAGCTAAATAAATTTTAAATTCTGAATATTTGCAAGTGTGCAATTAACTTCTGATGATGAATAACTACTGTTCAATAAGTTTTAATACAGACTTAGAAATCATATTACTTGGTTTCATAGTGCGATAAGAAGTTGCAGTTGCCTGACGCCCCTCTCTGGGGACCCCTTTGGAAACCGTTTCATCTCGCCCAGACCGCTCGTGTTTACTGCCTTGTCAGGTGACGTTATCGGGGCTATTTTTAGCAGGGCTTTCCCGAACAATTCAAGTGGTCAAACTGGACATTTGGAAGGACTATGAATATGGGGATAGCGAGGGAACATACGTGGAATCGCATACAATATATACATTCATTAAAAAAGATATGGCTCTTCTCAGGATGTCCCTTTAACGAATAAAGTAGTCGCATTTCTATATTTAGTAATCAGTTTGTATGGCAATACATAGGTAAGGTTTTTATCATAATGCACTCATACATGACTTGGTATATGGTATTAGATATTTAATATTTCTATGGTAATACATGTTTATGCATTGTATCATCATACATAAATCACTCATAATTCTTTATCTATAACCATAAAGGAATGAGGAATATATATTATACATTATATGAAGAATCAACTGCAGTTCTGCGGAGGGCTTTTGTAGTACACGCCATATGATATATATTGTTCCACTTCTAATTCTATGAAGGTCTCTTCACTCTCTTGGATATAATATAGGTATGGTTGGTCACCTCTTTGTTACGGCCACTGTACATAGTACAACCTGACCCACCTCTAGTTGTATGAAGGGCCAAGGCCAGTCCACTGTATGTATAAATGGTCCTGCCCGTAGCATGCAGGTCAGTAGGGTGAGGTTACTGCCTTGTGCTCCCAAACCCCACCCAGGGTTTCAACCCTGGATCCAAGTTTCAGTTGAGCCAGGATATGGCCATGATGAGTCTAGGTCTAGTGACCCACCTCTGGTTTAATGAATGGCAACTCTATTATATATATACAAATATTATAATAACCCACCTCTACTTTCATAAAGGGCTCCTGAAGTTTGGGTCCTGCCTGTTCTAAGGCATGACGTACACACTGGGAGGCACAAGCACTGATCATGGGGAGGGATGTCCCTCGCATCATACTGAAGTCTAATAGCGACACCTCCACGTCTATCACAGGGTAACCCAAAACGGGACCTGTCAAGCAGTCAAAGATTTCATACTCTCAAGTACATAACTACAGTTTATCATTGTCATATTACTAAACAACCACTAATTCTACTTAACAAGTAATGTGAATTTATTAGACATTTCATCAAACAGATACAGAATTAACTCTGAGTAGGTGTCAGGTATGCTATTTAAGGTCTTTCCATCCTATATATACTCCTGTCCTTATATGACCCTGGCTGTTGTGTCACCCTAGTTACCCGTCCTTATATGACCCTGGCTGTTGTGTCTCCCTAGTTTCCTGTCCTTATATAACCCTGGCTGTTGTGTCTCCCTAGTTATCCGTCCTTATATGACACTGGCTGTTGTGTCTCCCTAGTTACCTGTCCTTATATGACCCTGGTTGTTGTGTCTCCCTAGTTACCTGTCCTTATATAACCCTGGCTGTTGTGTCTCCCTAGTTATCCGTCCTTATATGACACTGGCTGTTGTGTCTCCCTAGTTACCTGTCCTTATATGACCCTGGTTGTTGTGTCTCCCTAGTTACCTGTCCTTATATGACCCTG